GAGAGAGAGAGAGAGAGAGAGAGAGAGAGAGAGAGAGAGAGAGAGAGAGAGAAAGGAATTTTTTAAATTTGTATTTATTTAATGATACTAGGGATTGAACCCAAGGCCTCATATGTGGTAGGCATGCTCCTATTCCTGAGCTATGCCTAAATTCCAGTTTTTTTATTCTGTGTCTGTGTGTGTGCATGTGTGCAGGTCATGTCTCTGTGTGTAGAGGCCAGAGGCCAGCCTCCGCTCTCATTTCTCAGGCACCAACCACTTTTTTTCTTTGGAGACAAGGTCTCTTTCACTTGCTTGGAACTTGCCAAATAGGTGAGGCTGGCTGGCCAGAGAGCCTTGGGGGTCCTACCTGACTCTGTCTCCATAGTGCTAAGTTTACAAACACGTATCACTCTACCCAGTTTTTTCTCATATGGGTTCAAGGAATCCATCTCAGGTCCCCTGTTTGCAAGACAAGCACTTCACTGACTGAATCATTAGCACACTCTTCATATATCATACATACAATATCACTCTGCTGTGTGGTTAAATGTAATAAAGGGACAGTGGCAACCCTAAAAAATGATTATACATTTTAAAAACTAGTTGAAATGGTAAGGGTTTTTGTTTTGTTTGTTTGTTTGTTTTGGGTTTTTTTTGTTTTTTGTTTTTTGAGACAGGGTTTCTCTATGTAGCTTTGCGCCTTTCCTGTAACTCACTTGGTAGCCCAGGCTCGCCTTGAACTCATAAAGATCTGCCTGCCTCTGCCTCCCAAGTGCTGGGATTAAAAGCGTGCGCCACCACCGCCTGGCGAGATGGTAAGTTTTACATAGTATATTTTGTTTAAATTTTTGTAAACCTATAAGAGGCCGAATGTGTGAACATTTCAGCATTTTACTTAAATTCAGGAATATTGATATTAAAATCTTCTTTAGTTTGTTCCATGATTACTGACTAGTTCACTTAAAGAACCATTCTGTTTTTAATGTTTGTTCTGCATATTATTTTGTTTATAACATAGGTTTCTAAAAAATATTGTGTGTGTGTGTGTGTGTGTGTGTGTGTGCACGCGCGCGAGTTGTCTGTGTGTGAAAGTATGAGTATCTGTTTGTGAACTTGTATGCATGTGTGGAGGCATCCAGTATTCTCCTGCTCTCTGCCCCATCCTTATTTATTGATTGATTTACTTTGTGTATATGTACGGGCTTGTGCACATGAGTACAGTGACCACAGAAGCCTCAAATCTCCGGGGTTAAAATGGGTGTGAGCCTTTGCTTGATGTAGGTGCTGGGAACCAAACTTGCTTAGAAGGCTTTAGCTAAAGATACTTGTCAGGAGGGCAGTTTCTTAATCTGAAGTTAGGGTCCTCGGGGCTTAGTTAGGGGTTAGGGAACCAATACGTGGTGGAAAGGAATAGAGGAAGTGTCTTTCTTTGTGTTGCTCTAATAACACACCACTGACTGACAGAAACTGATTTCTCCCCATTATGGAAGCCGAGAGTTCTAAGATCAGGATACAGGCAGGTTCCTTGTCTGACTGCTGCTTCCTGCAGAGAGGAGGAATGCAGTGTCCTGGGATGGCCAGGGCAGAAGAAGAAAGGCCAATATGAAGGTTTCTGTAAAAGCCCTCATCCCTTTCACAGCGAGGAGCTGCATGACCTAATCACCTCTCAGAAGCACCCCTGCCCCCCCCCCCGCCCCCCCCCAATCAAGCTGGCCCTTGAGTCCGGGCCTGAATTTTGTCCGGGTAGAATTCAGACTGTAGCAGGAAAGGAAAGACTGCATGTGTCTGGAAACAAAGCCAAGGTCGATGCTTTCTGAAAGTAGGTTTTTGTTTTTTAATGTCAATAATGAAGTATTTATAAAAGATTTGATGAGGCCGGATGGTGGTGGCACACACCTTTAGTCCCAGCACTCAGGAGGCAGAGGCAGGCGGATCTTTATGAGTTCGAGGCCAGCCTGGTCTACAGAGTGAGTTCCAGGAAAGGCGCAAAGCTACACAGAGAAACCCTGTCTGGGAAAAACAAAACAACAAAATAAAACAAAACAAAAAAGATTTGGTGAGAAGACTAAAAACTGTGGAAGCTGATAATGATTTTCACATTCCAGAGATTGTCAGATATTGATAATAATTTTCACATTCTATAGATTGTCAGATATTGATAATGATTTTCACATTCTATAGATTGTCAAATATTGTGCCACTCTTGAAAGGTACAACTCAGAACTGAACAAGTAGCATAGTTCCCTTTTGAGTATCTTTTGTTTTTGAGTCTTATATATATGCATACCAATTTCATGATTCCCACTTAGCATACTGCATGTGAAGAACATAGTGGTTGTCATTTACAAACGGTAGCCGGGTTTAGGAAGACGGGTGTGGGGTCTTTCTACTTCCCTGCCAGTGGATGCTCTGCTGCATGAGGAAGATAGCAGGAACTAGGGTCAGTCTTTAAAGAAGGCTTTCTTTGTTGTTGTTGTTGTTTTTGTTGACATTTGTGTGTGCGTGCGCAGTGTGTACACGTGTGCACGGACGCCGTGGTGCACAGGCAGCCCGGTCAGAGGACAGCTTGGGAAAGTTGGTCTCTTCTTCCTCGAAGTCAGGTGGTCAGGCTTGGTGGCAGGCCCTGTACCCCACTCAACTATCTTGTCAGCCACCTAACAAGAACCTCATCGTCTGAAAGTTTAAAAAACATGTATGCAGTTAAAAAAACATAGTCAGTGAGCCGGGCGGTGGTGGCGCACGCCTTTAATCCCAGCACTCGGGAGGCAGAGGCAGGCGGATCTCTGTGAGTTCGAGGCCAGCCTGGGCTACCAAGTGAGTCCCAGGAAAGGCGCAAAGCTACACAGAGAAACCCTGTCTCAAAAAAACCAAAACAAACAAACAAACAAAAAAACATAGTCAGTGAATAATTTAGGTAGTAGTTATTTAATGTTTTTAAATTTTTTACTTTTTAAAAATTTGTGTGTATGAATGTTTTACCTACATGTATGTCTGTGTACGGAGTGCCCATAGAGGCCTGAAGTGGGCATTGGATCTTCTAGAACTGGAATTACAGATGGTTGTGGGTCACCATGTAGGTACTGAAAATCAAACCTGAATCCTTTGGAAGAACAGCCAGTTCTCTTAACTGCTGAGCCATCTTTCCAGCCCCAATTGATTTTATATTTTTATTTAGTATACTCAAAAAATGAGTTTCACTAAAGTAGCATTTATTAAATTAATAGGTTCTACCGCTGCTATAGAAAAATATTTCATAAATGTTTCCAATTAATCACAAATATCACAAACTTTTAGTTTAGAGTATTCTGGTTTACTTTCTTTAGAGGTTAGATGTCTAGTTTTGTTGGGTAGGACATAAAATGCCTTTGTGGGTTATAGTAATGAGCAATTTGAATATATTTCAGTGTCAAAGTTTATTTATTCATAGTATGAAAATCACGTATTGGGTTATAAAACTCTTTCTTTTATTCTGAAAGGCTTGATTTGGTTCAGTCTCAGGTACAGCAGAGATATCAAGATTGGTTTTGAGTAGTTCATGTTATCTGTGTTAGTCTAATAAGGTCTTCAGATATGCCTATTACTTGGTTTAGTTGAGCATTTGGAAGGATTAAGAAATTGCCCATGTAGGTAGTAGAATAAAAATACAGATTGATAGTCCATTAATTAAGTGCATTTGGAACTTGAAGTGTAGCAATTTGGTGGTCCTGGAGATCCACCCCAGAGTCCCTGGCTTGTAGGCAAGTGCTCTCTGCAAGCTTCGTGTCTGAGGGTCAGAAATGGGCTATGATAGTGAAAAGTGAGGACGGTCGGACTCAGACCTTTTGTTGTGTGTCAAGGCCTCACATGTTGCAATTAAATTTAACTGAAGCTGGACTTTATTCTTGAAACTCAAAAGTTTCACATTTTAACAAGAGTACAATTGTTTTATAGCGTTTCTGTGTCGTGTTCCACTCATAGACTCCCATATGATTTAGCTGGATTTTGCTGTTTTAGTTACTTGCTTTTAGATTTAAAAAACAAAACCCCAAACCCAGAGTAGGTTGAAAGTCTACAAATTGCTACCACAGAACAAAAGTGCTGATCAAGATGAATCAGGCCCTGCAATGTGTACTG